GCCCAGCTGTGCTGACCGAGTGGCCCAGCGCGACTTCATGTCCGGGTGCTGCTACCCCTTGCATCCATCGATCTCGGGCACTCAGGCCTCAAGCTTCGCCGCGGCCGCGCGCAGTCCACGGGTGGCGCGGGGCCGAACCACGGGAGGGATATCAGGCCTACTGGCGCATCCCTGGGGCACGTACTTTGGGCTCCCCCGACATACTTTTGGGGGCGCCAACGCATAGTTTCTGGGGGGCGCGGATCTATTCCCTCTATGGCAACTGCGTTTAGTACCGTCACCGCTGGCGCTTGATATGCACACCGCCTCCAAGAAATACTCCGGCACATACACCGCTGGCGCTTGATATGCACACCGACTAGGCTGGCGCTTCCCGCAAGCCGACCCATTGAATCATAGAGACAGGGGGTCGCAACAGCCTGCCACCGCCCCTGGGATTCCCCGAATACGGATGCCCCGGTGTTCCTCAACACGCACGCGTCGGAGCTCGCCAGCGGCGGTTTCGCAGTTGCGAAGCTCATCAAGTTCCTCGGCAACGAAGAATTTGTACACACCATCCAGCGGGTTCCACGCTGCGCGCGCCACGCGCGCGCCTCAACGAGCTGGCGATTTAGCTCGGCGAAGGCGCGGAGCGGGAAGACGTCGAAGCGGGAAGATGGAAGATACCGACGCCAGGCCCCGCGCTGCGACGCCGAGGATGCGGGGGCAGCGGGGCGGGATTGCGCGGCGCGGCGCCCCCGTGCCTCTCGTGCCGTTCCGCCTCCAGCCAGAGAAGACGAAGCGCCGAGCCCCTGGCCCTGGGCCTATCCGCAAGGCGGACGGGTCGCCCTTCTCGAAGGTGGCAAGAGGGCCGGAATGGGATCTCCCACGCCGACGGCGCGCGGTCTTACAAGCTGAAGGGGCCTGGCGTCGCCCACGATTGGGTGGAACACCAGGAGGAGCGCGCCCTGGCGGAATGGCAAATGGGCTTGCCTCAAACCGTCCTACACCCAGAAGCGGCACCGCGACGTCCCAGATCGTGTGACAGCGGGCGCAAAGAGAAGCTGTGTCAAAAAAGGCACCCAGAGCATCGATCATGCGCGCCCTGTCCCTGACAGAAGTATAGCCGCCCAAGTGCGATCCCGAAAACTTGCAATTTCTATTGCTGAAGAAGCGTGCTCACGCCAGATCTTCTACGCAGAACCGCCAGAACACACGCACGCCCAACCGGGCTGGCACCCGCACGCAATTTGAGAAAGAACTCGATGCGAGCGAACTACAAACGAGGGCATGGCCGCCCTTCATATCGCATTACGCATCGCCCGTGCACTCGACTCACTAAACCATCGCTCACCCTAGCGGCAACACCGACACAAGCGAATGATACAAAACGCGCTCAGGCGCTTGACGCGTTTAACCGACATACACACATCCCACAATCGCGTTTCGTTAGGAAGGCCCGAGCATGCAAGGCACATCACACATGCCAAGGAGTTCAAAACTGAGCCGACACTGCCACGGCCTGCACGACACCTTTCTATCCAGGCATGTTCTGAGCTTGGACACTGCCACCAACCCCAAGGCTACGAAAGACCACGGGACCGAGCTACACTTTCCTGGGCTGCGCGCTGGCGAATCTGACGGCGCGGCATTCCACGAGTAGAAGTAGGAAGCGAACGGGGTAAGAAAGCGAGAGACGGCGGGTGGAAAGGGGAGCAGCAGGCAGGCAAATGAAAGGACAATGGGGGAGGAACCATTCGCGTGCCATGGAAACAGTCTGCTATCCGCGACCGTCCGGAGACATGCATGGCCCCGCGAATCCCGAATGGACACCCCTAGAGGGCGGCCCGAGAGGGCCCCTGACAACCCCAAGATAGCCCCAATATGGGCCCAGAAGGCCCCCCAAGAGGGGCCCAAAAAGGCCCTCAATGATCTCGTACCAGGAGCCCTTGGCATTGCCTTGTCCGGGGCCCTCTTGAGCCCTCTCGGAGCCTCCGTGGGCATTCTTCGGGTCCAGGACCCCCCCCTCCCCCGGGCCCGAATACAACCCAGGAGAGCCCCCCTGCAGCCCTAAGAGAGCCCCAAGAAGAGCCCAAAAGGGCTCCGAGAGGAAGCCCAAATTGCGCCCAACGGTATCTAGGGGAACGAACAATGGCATAAACATAAAAACTCGGAGGTCCGCGCGGATTTCTCGGATCCGCGCCGGACCCCCCTCCCTGGCGCGCGGAGCGCGCCAGGGGCGGCGCCAGAAGCGCCGCCAGGGGGCCCCAGCGCCGATGCGAGAAATCCGCGCGGACCTCCGAGTTTGTATGTTTATGGCATTCTTCGTTCCCCTAAAACTGCCCCCAACGAGATCACACCAAGAGCCCTTGCTATCAGGGCTGGACCTAAACGTTGTGTTTCGTTTTGCTTTCGTGTTATTGTTCGTTTTGCTCTACCTATTTTCCTGTACCTCCCTCCCGGAACGAAAAACAAAGCACGGCCGAAGTCCAGCAAAGCAGCGTTTAGGCCCAGCCCTGCTTGCTATGATACGCCGAAGGGGCCGCCTTGGCGGCAGCGACGGGCGACGACGACGACGAGGGCCAGCGGCGCGGCCGAGGAGCCGCGGCTCCCGCCCGGGGGCGCTCTTTCGGCGCGGCCGGGGGCCTGTTGCTGGCTCTCGCGCGGCCCCTTCGCGCCTCTCTCGGAGCTCTCTCGCGGGGGCCTGGCGCCCTCCCGGGCCGGCCTTCGGGGAGGGGCAGAGCCCCCTTCGGCGAGGCGTGGTTCAGGGAAGAAGACCTCGGGCCCAACCCTGGCGGACGCAGGCCTGGAAGAATGACGGCCGCGGCGCCCTCTCGAGAGCCGAAAGCGGACAGTTCACGAGTCGACGTGTCAGGGGTGGGGGGTTCTGTCCGCCCCCGAGCGCCGAGAGGGCCCGCGAGGCCCCGAGGTCCCGAGGTCGGCAGCGAGGCGGGGGGGGGGGGGGGCAGGCAGAGGGGGCGGGCTTCGGCTCGCAAGGCCTCGGGCCTCCTGAGGTCTCTCCCAGTCCTCTGCTCCGGGAGCACGGAAGGCTTCTCAGAAGGTCGGAAGGCTGCCGGGAAGCCCCGTGGCCTGCTGAGAGAGATTGTCTGCCCCCTCTCACTGCCGCCATGGGCGCGCCGACGAATCCGAGGTCTGGGCGTCGCAACTGTTTCATGCCGCGAGGTCTCGCTCTGTTTCGGGGCCCGAGACCCTCACGGATCGATCCGGCTCGAGAGATGCCGCAGAAAGGTGGGGCCTAGGGATCAGGTCGCGATTTCTGACGATGATCATGGAGTCTGTGCGACGTCGGATCTCAGGGTCGTCCTCGTGGAGACGACACAGTCTGACGCCCGCCCTGGACTTCTTGGAGGCACAGGAGAGGGACCAGGGCTCCCAACCCAGGAGAGGACAGATGGCGGCGAAACGAAGGCCTCTCCTGGATGACGAGGCTCAGCCTTCAGAAAAGAGAAGCCTTGCTGAGGCGGGTGCCTGCCTGAGCCCTTCTGGCGCGATGACTGACGCCAGAGGAGGAGGAGGAGGAGGAGGAGGAGGAGGAGGAGGAGGAGGAGGAGGAGGAGGAGGAGCAGAAAGAGGAGGAGGAGGAGGAGGAGGGAGGTTGGAATAGGAGGGGGAGATGGAGGAGGATTGACGTGACGAGAGGGGATGAGAGTGTGCAGGATCGACGACGAGACGCCAGACGACGAAGCCGACGCTGCCGGAGGGCCAAGTGTGGGGCGGATCGGGACGACGAACGAGGACGAGGACGAGGACCATGAGGCTGGAATCCGTGCCCCCGCTACGGAGTCCTCGTCTGCCACAGGGCCTATGCGCCGCGCCTTCTCTGCCGCTGAGGACGACCGCCGAAGGCGGCGGACGGACGAGCCCTGAGGAGGGCGCGGCGTCCCCGCGAGGCGGCTGCTCCGCTGGCTGGGGCTCATCGGAAGTAAACGCCGTGCCACCGTTTGCCGGCGGGGGCCGCGCGCGCCCTGCGCCGCCGCGGCACGCGCAGCCCATGCGCGGGAGGCGCTGCCGGGCTGCTGCGCGGGAATGGCCT